AGAATATTTTGAACACCAAGATTTCGCCGACAGCTGAGGATTATTGTGACAAGTTCATGCAGAATTATTTGAGTGTCAACAGCTCTGCGGAATCAATGATCCCCTACTCATCCAAGGATGAATCCGCAAACCCTTTTATAATTCCCCATGGCGTCGCACATGTGACCGCTTGTGAGCCGATAAGTCCTTACCTTCGATGGCTATAGAAGGCAACCTATATGTTCTATCACTCCAAGGATTACCAGCAGGCTAAAACAGATACGTAATCGCCACCGAGGCTATGTAAAGGATAGTGCCAAAAGTATCGGAAGCATTACGCGTGTGGCAGAACAAACCTTCAGTCAGTTTCATTGCCACTGTAAACCTAGGCTATATTAAGATACCTCTGGATGTGTATAAGTAGTACGGGAGACTTGCAGGTAGTTTGCTTCTCCATAGATGAATTTTAGCTTTACCTTTCAATCATACAAATGCCCATTCGCTTTCTATATTCGAACTGTGACAGCACATCACTTGAACGTTATCGGCACTGAAGCCATAGATTGGCTGTCAACTTGGCGACAAACGAAGTTCTTCGATAGCTCAAACCATTATGTATCCCTGGGGATAATGACGTCAACATTGCGGTAGGCTTCTGCACTAAAAATCCTTTACTGTATGATACTGGTGCCCCTCATCACTTTATTCGGCTAAAAGACGACTTTATAACCCTTAAGAAACTCGCATACTCGTTTGAATTCGATCAAGCTATTGGAAAATCAGCCCTAACACGCCAAGAAACTTGTCGGTTACAAAAAGCCCGAGGAAGAAAAGAAACTGAAAGGTACGTTATAATTAGAGTATAATCAATGATTTAGAGGAACCTTCAAATGAAAAGAAAATTAAAATTAGACAAAAAATTATAATCAGAAGATTATATTCATACAGCTCAGTCAGGAAGAAAACAGTCATTAGCCCATGCCCCGGTTATATAAAGCTCGAGGAAGAAAAAGTAATGAAGAGCATGTTATGATTGGAGTTATAATAATTGGTCTATAGGAGCCATAAGAGGGAGAGAAAAGAATAGTAATAAATAACAGACGAGTAGCACCAACCGAAGATTTCACCATCACCAAATGGGGAGATTCTCTATCAGATGACATCAAGTTACGCCGTTCCAAATCTGCGAGCTTATATATACCAGCTATATCAATTCCACTCGCACAGAGATGGTTAGAGAGTACTCACCATCATGGGGAGCGTTGTGCTGGTGATGGCTAGGATTACGATGCACAAGGATAATGATCAATGAGAGTGAAGGAAGGAATTTTCAGGTGGCTTCATAATGAGTAAAAGAATAATGGAGCATTTTATGGAAAGTGTTTCTACATTATACTACCAGATGGAGGATACTGGAATATTCCGTGATACTATTTTGGGAAAATAAGGCAAGAGTCTAGCTGTCTCATATGTGTATATAAATAGCGCTTTCTGTATCCTAGATCCTCATAGTTCTGGATATCAAGTATATTAGCAGTTCAGATTAATTCATAGATAATTATCCGTAGACCTTCTGCCAATAAGCCTCCGTGAGCTCTTACCTTTACAACACGGCTTGAAAGCTTTTTCGCTTACTAAAATGGCTTAGCCTCTTCATGGTTCTGTATATAAATACCGCATAGGACGTTAAACTGGAGTAATGAATGAATAATGAGTTAGTATATTTTTGAATTGACTTTAGTAACCTGATTTGGCGCCCTATAGACACATGCAGGTGGCTATAAACCTATCTATATTTACATAGGAGGAAACCTCTCAGTGAAAACTTCGCTACCATTCTGGTTTATTTCTTGAATTTGTAATTTATCTTTCTGGAAGCACAATCACAATGTAGTACTGTTGAAATTGGTGCTACTTGGCAATGAAGAGTCGCTTTAACATGGAACGTAATAAGGTTCTGGTATTACTACCGACGCTTATGACGACTCATACATTGACCAGCCTCCCAATTATCTAGCATGAACAATTGAATTGTGTCCTTCACCTAGTTGTAGAAATTAGTTTAAATAGCGCACTTGTTAAACTATAAGATTGTTGGTCAAACATAATCCTCCCTGTGCCTTAACAAAATGGAGTTATGGTTGTGATTAGTGTTTACCTAAGAGGAAAATGGCTAAGGCGTTTGGAGATCTTATATACCCTGTATTAGTAGTTTCATATTAGCGTGTAGGCGAGGCTGATAGACACATATTAGTAGGAGCATAGTCGCAGCGTTTTTTCTAGAATGCTGAGCGAGCAGAGTAATATACACGTTCTGTTAACCTTTTACTTTATCAATTCTACTTCCAGTACTACTGTATTACCTGTCTAGAGGAATCATATTATAATAGCACTGACACTAAGTGGGTTTAGTCAACAACTCTCCAGTACAGTTCTCAGACTCTCCAATCTCTCAACTCGCTCCACAAGGTGATATTAAATACAAGTCCAGCAGCTTAAGCTTCTCTACCAGACTTCCATTACAACAACTACCGCCTTTGTGTATCAATCACGTCCCTTGTATCGACCTCAACCTTGCGCCAGTCCTGTCTCGTTTCCTAAGCAGCATTTCGACAGCATTTGCCATGCAGATTTATTCTATTCAACCATGACTAAGGATCTATTGCGTAATTCTTTTAATGTCGCCAGGATTTTTTATCATTGCTTCAAAGGAAGCTTTTCGGGCTTCTCTCCAAGTCTCTCCTTTACCTATTGACCACTCAGGGCAGGTCATGATCATGTGCTTGGGGTTTTGTGATTAGAAGCCACATGGACAGCATGGATGATAGACACCTGGCACTTTTCTTCTGCATAAATACAAATTAAGCCCGCCGTGCTCGCTCCGAGTTTGGATCGCTAGGCTGCTGGGCCCTTGTCAGGTATTTGTGGAGGGAAAGAGGGGATTCCTGGAAGCTTAATCTATGTCGTCCAGAACGAGGGCATTGATAGATTTTAGCTGCTAATGATTTAATACATGTGTACGTAGATTTATAAATTTAGCCCGTTCAGGTACCCTATGGTCCTATTTAGGTATATCTAGCTATAATATTTACGAGGGGGGGAATGAGTGAGTGAGTGTTTATTGTCGCAATGAGTCTGTAACTATGTAAGGACATGTAGGTCCTTTCTGCCTACAGGCCGGGAGTATCTATGCCTCGGGTAGTGTACTCCCTCCTATGCCTCCTTCACAACTTCTTCCCAGCAGTAATACCCCCACAGGTCTTCATTCGAGTACACACTAAGAGGAGCCGTTATCCCGTCATTATCTCCCCTCTCCAGCCAACTAAACGATGGCCATTTGCGGGGGTGTAGCCGCAGGGAAAAGTCTCAAAAACCTCTGGGTACGGTGCTCTTCTATAACGAAGAGGCTAGCCACCCGGGCGCAGTAGACCTGTGTATACCTAAGATTGTCTCTCAACCTTCCTAGCCTCCTCCTTACTCCTCTCCTGATTCATACCGCAGGACAAATCGTAGGTCGTGAAAGGATGTCAGAAAAGTTTTGGTCGAGAGTGACAGTAGTGAAGGAGCCTAGCCTAGCATCCAAAAGTCGTTACGGACGTGGGGTCGTCGAGTAACTCATGTATTTCAGATGCCCTCCTGGCTAGTAGATTCGGAAGTTATGATTAGTAGGGACGATAATATAGACGAGTCGAAATCTGCTTTTCTTGAGGGCGGAAGGGTCTTTTACTTTGCTTTCGTATGCTTTTTGTTCGCCCGTCGGTGGGTAGCACATGTTGTGATTTAATGAAGACTTCTCTGACTACCGTTACAGCATTTGGTACCGCATTATCTTTCCTCATTACCAGCATCATTATCATCGTCTTGGTCGTCTTGTGTGTTATCGGATGCGTATCTTTGACGGGGGGGGGGGAGATAACTTAGCTCAAAGTTGATAAGGTGTCACTCATTCTCGGCTCTGCAGACTCTACAGTGAGAGCTGGAGGTTCGTAGGGGACACCACTGACAGGTGTTGAGAATAGTCCCCCTACGAGGGAGGGAACTAATTCGGTAAAAAATCCCGAAACTATCAGTCTCGTGTCTATTGGTTTTGTGAGGTTTCCTACAGAAAGTGCGTTAACACTGTTCATCCAGTGTGAGTACCGTCCTATCCTTTTCCCGATCGCGTAATTCTTTCACTGGCTGCTATCTCAACTTCTTCTGCAAGCCGGAACCGTTCAAGCCAACCATAACTAGGTATCCACTCTGTGATTCTCTTCGTGTCATCAAGGCTGTTCATCATAGTTTCAAAATACCTATCTTTTGCCTTTCGCAGTGTCTCTCCTCTTCCTTTAGCCCTCTGAGGACAAGCCAGGGCCGTATGTTTCACGTTTTGTGAGGAATATCCACATTGGTATTTTGGATTTGCCTTTTCAGGGTTCTCTCTTCTTTACAGATAAGAGTTGTAGCCAATTAAATATATTTATCGTTAGGCTAAGCACAAAGGGTTATTCTTAGTATCAGCTGGTAAGCAGCAAGTAGGGTGTTAATAATATGGAGGCGGGCACTCTTATATTATAAATAAAAATTACGCGTATTCATACGTTGAGCTTCAACAATACAATCATCTTGCACAACCTAATAGACTCAAGCTGTCTTTCCCATTCAAGTCAAGTATGAGTTCCTCATTTTACAAACCAGACGTAACAATATATCCTTACATGTTATAGACTGAGGAAGGATAATAAATTCAGAAAACCTATTCATTTAGCGCCAAAGTGCTATTCAATCTAGCTCTTACGACTGAGCAAACGACAAGGTTCTTCACCTTTTGTCGAAAATGGGAGACTGATCAGTGTACGGGTAACTATGAGCCTGGCTAGCTAAGAAATAAGCCTTTTTACATTTCATGTTAATGATGGTCTTCTTTGCCATCTAGTATTAGTTTCATTAATTGCTTGATGAGAGATAAGTTAACATTCCTAGTTCTCTCACTCATCTCTTTCATATGACTACGAATTTGTTGCTGAGAAATTTGAATCAAGTTACCTTTGTTCGAGCTTTTCCTGGAAGTTATTTACTTCTTCTTTTGAAATAGAGTAAGTATGCTCCTGCTCAGGATATTCCCGGCACTTCGTTTCCTTGATGTAGGTTTCAAGTCCCCGTAAACTCTCGCCCCAAATATCACAATACTTTTTCACGAACTTTGGTAAATGGTGGCCAGGTGGAGAGCTTCCAAGCATATCAATTTGTACCAGTATTTGGCCCGAGCAACTGTTTCCAGCCCCTATACCTATGGTTGGAACCTTGAGTTTTTGAGTAATAATTGCTGCTATTTCGCGTGGCACAGCTTCAAGCACTACAGCGAAACATCCAGCCGCTTGTACGGCTAGCGCATCATCCAGTATCTGAAGGGCGCTATCAGAAGTCCGGCCCTGTACATGGAATCCACTCAGTGAATTTTGACGTTGCGGAGTCAAGCCGACATGGCCCATAACGGGAATGCCCGTGTCTGCAATTTTTTTAATTGTCTTAGCCATTTGTGCACCGCCTTCAAGCTTGACTCCTTGGACACGCCCTTCTTTTACAATTCGAATAGAAGATTTTAGTGCTTGCTCTGCTGAGACCTCATAAGAGCCCATTGGTAGGTCCGCCACCTGTAGCCATTAGTTAATCAAACATCTAGTCTGGGACCATTAAATCAAAGTACTGTAAATGCTGTCCTGGTCGCTCGGGAGACCGCACGGCTAAAAAGGATCATGTCCTCTAAGCGAATTTCGGTAGTGTCTTCCATTCCTAACCCTACCATCGCTAAACTGTCTCCCACGAGCACTATCTCTACACCTGCCGTATCAGCGACTGATCCACTGCAATAGTCATGAGCCGTAATGGCAACTATTGGTTCTCCCTTGGCATATAGATTTCGCAAAGTGTTTAAAGTCACCTTTTTCCGCTGGCTTGATCTGATTTGTTGTCCTAGAGGGGAGTGTGAACTACAACGGAGTAACTGTGGTGTTCGTATTGGCTGAATGCTGTATATTTTTTCTGAATTGAAGTGTCGCTTCAAATGGTAAGCGCTTCTCATTTTTGAAAAGCGGGCCAGCATTATGGCGAAGTTGATAGACGCTGTATGCAAAAATACGTGATCCGTTTTCTCAATTTAAAGACAAATTCAAATAATCGCTTAAGGCATATAGAGGCCAATGTAGATGTTAGAGATATCGCGCAATGAAATAGGCACAGCACATGTGGATCGAGAGTAGAAGTTGACTAAAAGATCGTCATGTCCGTATTACTACTTAATATTAAACAGTTGTAATTATGTTCGAAGAAGAAATACCTGAATTGTATTTTGAATGCTGATGAGGATAGAACAAAGTCTGAATGTTGTTGAACTAGAAGTGTTGTGTGGATGAGGTGGTTGATCATGAGGGTGATGACCAATTCTGCTCTATGCGGATAGAATATCGTGTGGAATATATACATGATTATATGGTCTGTGCATTGAGTTTGGCACTAAGTTGTTTGCAGGGTTTGTTTATACAACATGACCTCTACATGACTTTCACATGACTTTCACATTACATTCACATGGCTTCAAGAACACATGATCCCATCATGACCAGCCATGAATTTTTCTGTAATACCATTTGACCATAACAACTTGAAGAAATACTTTATCAATCCATTGCACTTGAGTGATTAAAATTGACACTGAAGGCGTGGGAAGTGTGCGCTACAAGTGCCAGTGTAAGCCACAGCACAAACAAAAGTGGCGCCATCTAGACAAAGAAAAACCCCAATAACCTTCTTATGCCCACGCCTTACAGCCGCTCATGTCTCCAATAGGTAGTCTGAAGTACTACCATATCACATATTTCAATCACCGGTGCTACACACAAAATTATGTCGGGAACCTAGACAAAATGGAGGGCCCGTATGTCCACAACACTCTGTGTCTTCATTTCCAACAATAGAGCACTAATATAGCTTTTAATACTGAAAGGAAACCTTCTGGATCGACAATTCTATGTAAATATCGATCAAATGCACTAACTGCGGCACACCGATATTTTTTGTCAAGCGAAGCAGCTCGTTGACGAGCCCGTTACAAATTAGCCAGTCCTTATAGCTCTAGATGCTTTATATTATTCTCTCTTAGGCTATGGCTATATAGGATATATTATTATGTCTGGTATTGAGTTTGAGGATCTCACACTTGCCTTGAACGACTTAGATAGTTCGAGTCTATTAGATAGAGCAAGTTAATTGTATTATCCAAGTTGAATGTTGTCAGTCCACCTAAAACGTAAAAGTTGATTGTCATCATGTGGGGATCACATGATAGCCTCAGCACAGATGCGCAAGTCAGAATCCAAAGTAAAGCTGTGAATCCTGTAAGGCGTAGATAAGACGATTATGAACACTTTAGACCAACACAGAATCGTACAATTCGAGAATCCCAGGTTGCCCACTCCCTCCCTAATATCCATCTCACCCATTATTTATCGAATCGAATCGTAATTGTTTGCCATTGGCAGCATTTTAAAATGCCTCCGACGCGTAAATCGCACAAAAACGCGATCAGCGGCACAGCCAAAGATCGTGTCAACAAACCGTACCAATGGACTCCCGCCATTCAAAACCACGCGAGAAATATGCTGACAAAACGAGGACTCGAGTCCAACATTCAGAATATGAACACTATCGCGGCTGCTCTCCTAGCTAAGGAGAACGATGTCCCCGAAGTAGACATGGTAGACACAGAAGTCGAGATGATGAAAACCCTCGCCGATTCAATCTGGGCATCCTCCAGCCCAGAAGACGTGGAACAAGTCTTGGACCCCACCGAACCACCCAGAATAACCGTCATCGCACCCGAAAAGCGCGCTACGGTTCCAGCACTACCGCGACCTGCAGAAGTGAGGCCTGCGAACAGGGCTGAAACACCACCCACTAAGGCAGCAGGAGCCGAAGCCCCTCCGCTGGCTCCACAGTCTCTAGCAACAGAAGCAGCAGGCAAAGAAAAAACATACCCTCCAGAATTGCTTGCAGCGATGGAAGCGGAGGAGCGCAGGGCAAGACAAAAAGCCGCGCAATTTAACATCTGCTCGACGGCTATTAGCAGTGTCGAGGCAGCTCTTCTACCGCTCTCCACCGGCGAAGATAAAAATTTTGTAGATTCCATCAAAGTCTACTTGCGAGCAGCCATCGCACAATACGTGGCATCCGGGCCAAGCACTGCTCCGCCAGTACTACCCCAAAGACCAAATGTTGCGACTCCCCCTGCGACCGTCATCCCAGTAGCCATTCCTCGGAATATTTCAAAGACTACTGCAGCTCTCCCACTCAGAAGCACCTGGGCCACTGTCACCAGGGCAGGACACCAAAAGTCAGGAGCACAGGCTCCTGCAAACATCACCTCGGTTTCTGCTGTCCCATCTGCCAGGAAACCGGAGAAGAAGCCAGCAGCAACAACAGCATCGAAAGATGAGCGACTCTTCCTGCGTCTCGATGCAAACCACGAGTGGAGACAGCTCTCTCCGGCTGGCGTTCGCGAAGCCATGGCTAAATATACGCAATGCACCCCTTCCGATGTCGACCAGGTGCAACGCGTTCCCACTGGCTTTGCCATCCGTGCCAAAATCCCGGATGCAAAATCCCGACTGCTTGAGGCCTCCAGCACCTTCACACAAGTGAAGGCATAATTAGAACCACCAAGCGATCTAGTTTCCCTCCGGATCGCCACGGTTCCAGTTGCAGTTTTCGGCTTAGAAGGACGAATTGAAGTCACTGCCGAAATGGTGGCCGCCGAAATCCTCAGAGTGACAAACTGCACTCCAGACCGAGTGAGGATACACGGAAATACTAAGCTCGGCGCTCCCTACAGATCCTAGGCGGCCTTATTCCCAAGGAATGCTAGCCCAAAGCCTGGATTCCGACTATTTGACGACTCAGGAATAGCGACAATCCAACGAAACCGCCCTGCTATACAGCAATGTAGGCGATGTCTCGGCTTCCACGCCACCTGTGGGTGTTCTCGCGCGCCAGCCTGCTGGAACTGCGGATCCACCATGCACTCGGCATTCGAGTGTAAAGCGGCCTCTAAATGTCGAAACTGCGGAGGCCCCCATTAATCTGGCAGTCGAGACTGTCTAGCTCGTCCCAACAGGTCTGGTCCAGCTACCAGGGAGCAACTTGTGACGATTAGACAAGCTGGCCAACGCGAGTACCAGGCCGTCGCTCGAGCCAAGGCTGCTACAGCTGCCGCTAGATCGACACGACCGACTTCTCCAGGTGCAGTTAAGGACATATCGCCAATAGATACAGCAATGACTGAGGGTTCGGGCTTTGGGGCCTTGAACCCTGAAGAAGCTTTGTGAAGGGCGCCCTACGGTCCCCTTCTCGCCCCTACCACACTAAGTTTTTTATCAATAAATGTAAGCAGGGGCGGCCCAACTCACAACATTGCGCTCTCTAGAGCTTACGAGCTAGGCGTGGATGTTGTGTTGATTCAAGAACCTTGTTGGATCAAACAAACGAACCAAACCAAGTCATACCCAGGTTACCTCTGTCATACACCGTACGGAGGTGTGGATGTCAGACAGAGGGCGGTGACTTACACTCGGAAAAACGAAAAGGTGATATTGGCAGAGCAGATCTTCCCTTGTAATAGGCTGACTGGGGACTACTGCTGGGTACTGGTCAATGGAATCACATTTCTCAACGTGTATAAGGCCCCTAATAACCCGACTGCAGTCCGCACGCTTGTCGACTGGAAACCGTCTGCGAGGTCCATTGCAGCCGGAGACTTCAACTCAGTGCATTCTGCCTGGCAACCGGGAGCAACTCGGCTTTATGGACAGGGTGATGAGATAGAGAGGTGGATGGAAGACCACAACCTCTCTTGTCTTATAGTTGGAGAGCCGACCCATAAAGCTGGCAATACTCTTGATCTCGCTTGGACTATCATATCTAGAGCCCGTGCTTGGGTCGATAGAGAGGAGTGTATGACCAGCAACCATCTTCCGATCCGCGGAATCGAATCTGCAGCAACCTTCACCGGGAACCCGGGTCCATCGAAGATCATAGTGCCCAAGAAAAATCTACCTAATTTTGCGCGTGCCGTTGCGAAGTGGGTACATCGGCCGTTAGACTTGAGTACAAAAGAGAAAGTGGATGAGTATGCCCAAGAGATCTGCTTCCATCTCTCGGAGGCCATCAAAGCGACAGGAACCCGGGCCAGAAAAGAAAGCGGCAAATCTGCACCGTGGTGGACTTCTATGTGCAAATCTGCACACGCCGAATACCGAGCCGCAACGACACCGACACAGCGGGCCACTTGTGCGAAGAAGCTTCGTGCGACAATCACAGCCGCCAAGAAAGAGTATCAGACAAGTCAAGTGGAAGCAATGATAGCACCGTCTGACATATTCAAGCTGATGCGTTCGGTAAACCATAGACAGGCCAAAGCCCCTCCGCCACTCAATCACAACGGAAAGTTCATCACGGAACCGTTAGAGCGAGCTACCATTCTCCGAGACGCCCTTCTTGCACGCCACCAAGAATCGGACGACCTTCCGCCATGCAACACTCCAAGCGATAATCGAATACCTTGGGAAGGTGAAATCTCAGACGAGGAAGTGCGAACCTGCACAATCGGCTGTGGAAAGACAGCACCAGGGGCAGACGGAATCACGGTTGAGCTCCTTGAGGTTTGCTGGAAGACGATTGGACCGTGTGTTACGCAGCTCTTTAGAGCTTACATACGGCTCGGCACCCACCCATCTTGCTTCAAACTTGCAGAAGTGGTGCTATTGGAAAAGCCAAATCGGGACCCAACCACAATCAAAGGCTGGAGACCTATAGCCCTCCTATCATGCATAGGCAAAGGGTTAGAAAGACTTCTTGCCAAGCGAATGGCGAACCTCGCAATCACCTGTGATGTGGTTGGCCATCAACAATTCAGTGCGCTCACAAAGCGATCTGCAACGAACCTGGTCTCCTGTGTAGTCCGTGACATCGAAGAAGCACGCTCCCAGGAATGGGCCTCGACATTCGTCACTTTTGATGTCCAAGGAGCGTTCGATGCAGTTCTCTACAATC